GGACCTCGCTCAGGCCGGCCAGGTGCTAACCGTGTGCACACGCCCCATCTCCTAGGAGCCCCAGGGTCCCTGCACCCAGCAAGGCGCTTCTTGGCCCAGCCCGGCATGGGGGTGCAGCTGTCTCAGGGTGTCGGGGGAGGGCGGTTCCTGGTCCCCACCTGTGCCTCTTCATTGCAGAGTGACCGGGCAGAGGTACAGGTACGGGCGTAAGTACAATAGGCTGCTGCACTGAATGATTCGCCATAAAAAATGATTGCGACTAGGTCAGCGTCTCATTGTGACTGCAGGTCAACCGGGATTCAGAGTGACTGTCATTGTGCGCTCTTGACTGCTTCGGGCAACTCCGCCCTTTAGCACAGCCCCCGGAAAGGTGGATCAAGCCACACTCCCGCCGCAGCTCCAGTGACATGGAAACACCTTTTTGTAATAGAATTGACCGTGCTTATCCCAATCATGCAGCAGCCTCATAAAACCGCCCGGGGTTAATGATTTCCAGAAAGTCAACAACTTCCTGCTTCCAATCCTCTTGGTGACATGAACCCCTGGCGCCTGCTCAGGAAAAATCTGACCAGCGATTGCCCAGTCTGCTCAGCTCCTGAGATGCTACCCTCCCTCACCTCTTAATTCAGCAAACCAAGTTCCCAAGCACACTTTCATTGAGTGTTTTCCCTTCCTAAGGCTGAACTGGAAAGAAGGAATGAATACAGACAGACACTATGGTGTGTCTCTCTGTATAATGTGTGTGTACATAGAGTGAACACACACACACATACAGTCACGCATCCCTTAATGACTAGACAACTGGGACACATTCTAAGAAATGCGTGGTTAGGCGATTTTGTCATTGTGCAAACATCACAGAGTGTACCTAGACAAACCTGGATGGTATAGCCTACTCTACACCCAGGCTACACGCTATTATGCCCAGGCTACAAACGTGTGCAGCATGTTACCGTACTGAATCCTGCAGGCAACTGTGACACAATGGCAAGTATTTGTATATGTAAACATAGAAAAGGTACAGTAAAAATATGGTATAAAAGATAAAATGTAGGACTGGAAGTTGCTCTGGGTGAGGCAGTGAGTGGTAAGTCAATGTGAAGGTTAGGACATTACTGTATACTACTGTAGATTTTATAAATGCTGTAACACTTAGGCTGCATTAAATTTATTTTAAAATTTGCTTTCTTCACTAATAAATTAGCCTTAGCTTACTGTAACTTTTTTTGCTTTATAAACTTTGAAAAATTTTGAAAACTTTTTGACTCTTTTGTAATAACACTTAGCTTAAAACACACATTGGGCCAGGCGCAGTGGCTCACAGCTATAATCCCAGCACTCTGGGAGGCCAAGGTGGGGGGATGGCTTGAAGCCAAGAGTTTAAGACAAGCCTGGGTAACATATTGACACCCCATATCTACAAAAAATTTTTTTAATTAGCAAGCTGTGGTGGTGCATGCCTGTAGTCCCAGCCACTTGTGAGGCTAAGGTGGGGGGATCGCTTGAGCCCAGGGGTTCGAGGCTGTAGTGAGCTATGATCAAGCCACTGAACTCCAGCCTGGGCAACAGAGCAAGGCCCTATCTCAAAACACACACACACACACACACACACACACACACATTGTACAGATGTACAAAAATATTTTCTATCTTTATATCCTTATTCTATAAGCTTTTTTAAATTTTGTTTTTACTTTTTAATCTTTTTTTGTTGAAAACTGAGACACAAACACACACATTAGGCTAGGCCCACACAGCGTCAGGATCATCAATATCAGCACCTTCCACCTCTACATCTTGTCCCACTGGAAGGTCTTCGGGAGCAGTGACAGGCATGGAGCTGTCATCTCCTGTGATAACAATGTCTTCTTCTGGAATACCTCCTGACGGACCTGCCTGAGGCTATCTTACAGTTAACCTTTTATATATAAGTAGAAGGAGCACACTCAAAAAATAATAAAAAAGTTTAGTAAATACTTAAACCAGTAACAGTCAGTTATTATCACTATCATGTATTATGTTCTGTACCTAATTGCTCGCGCTATATTTTTATATGACCGGCTGCACAGGTTTGTTTACACCAGCACCACCCCAAACACGTGAGTAGTGCATTACACTCTCACATGACCATGGCTATGCCACTACTAGGTGATAGGAATTTTTCAGCCCTAATATAATCTTATGGGACCAAAGTCACATATATTACTAGATGGTCCATCGTTGACTAACACGCTGTTATGTGGTGCATGACTATATTCCATTTAATATGGAAAATTCTAAAAATTGCAAACTAGAGTGACAGAAATCAGATCAGTGGTTGCCTGGGGAGGAGGTGGAGTAGGTAATGAAGGGATTACAAAGGTATAAAAGAAATGGCTGAGGTGATGGATATGTTCATTATCATTTTTAAAGTATTTATTTTTTATTTTTTAGAGGTAGGGTCCTGCTATGTTGTCCAAGCTTGGAGCACAGTGGCTATTCACAGGAGCAATCATAGCTCACTGCAGCCTCAAGCCACTGGCCTCAAGTGGTCCTCCTGCCTCAGCCTCCTGAGTAGCTGGGACTACAGGTACACACCACCATACTGAGCTTTTGTTCATTATCTTGATTCCGGTGAAGGCTTCTTCACATATGTCAAAACCATTCAAATTTTATACTTTAAATATGTACCATACATATCAATTATGCCTCAATACATCTGTTTTCATAAAAAGACACCACCCCTCATGTTCACACACAGCCAAATGACACTGGGTCCCATCCTGGCCTTTGTCCTGAGAGCTATGAGGACCATTTCCTCCTGGTCCATCTAGAAAGGAGACACCCGCCAGGGCTGGCAAAATGCTTCCCTTGGACTTGCCCTGTGGGCAGGAGCCCAGGAAGGAGCATGATCTCTACTCACATGGCAGCTATGACCGCTCAATATTGTAAGTCAAAGTCATTATTTCTGCTTACGTTCTTGTGTGTTAAATATTAACCTTTAATTACTTGCAATGAAGACAATAAACACAGGGCACGTGGGCTCAAGGGCAAGCCTGAGACCCATCACGCTCTGTGCTGGTGATGACATACATGGTCAACTGGCCTTCTCTGGAAGAAGCAAAGACTTTTCTGGTGAGGTAGGTAACATAACCAGGTAGTTCATCTGCTGAAACGAGTTTCCTAAGCTACCTAGAGATCCAACAACAGATCTCATGCATCTTAGTGTCTCTCCTCAGCTACCCAACACATAACCATTTGAACAGTTTTCCTGAATATAATATATCCTTTCCATGAAAGCCCATTCAGCCACCAAGAAGCTCAGGAGCTCATCACTCCTTCCTACCCACTGGATGAAACTGGATTAATCTCCAGATTCATTTCCAACTTTCTTCCTCATACCTCATTAAAAAGCAAAGTTCTAATGAACAATGACAGTCTGCTAAGCACAGGTAAGTAAGTGATGAGGATTCAAGCTTAATTGAGACAGAGTCCCTGTGTTCAGTGAGCTCACAGTCACGTGCAAGAAGACTAACAGAAACCACTAACCACTAAGTGAAGTATCTCAAGAATGGAAAAACAAGTACCACATGTACTCACCAGCAAATTGGTATTAATGGATCAACACCTAAGTGGACATATAGGAATAACATGTATCGGGTGCCGGGCAGGAGGGAGGGGGGAGGAAGGGGTGGGTATATACAAACATAATGAGTGAGATGTGCAACGTTTGGGGGATGGTCATGCTTGAAGTTCTGACTCAAGGGGGGTGGGGGGGCATGAGCAATATACATAACCTTAACATTTGTACCCCTACAATATGCTGAAATAAAAAAAATAAAAATAAAAAAAGAAGACTGTATGTACAGAATACTATGTGTCCATCAACAGAAGAATGGCTAAATCATGGTATATCCAAAAAATGGAATACTATTCAGCAATAAAAAGCTACAAATTGTTGATATACACAAAACATGGATGATATCTCAGAAAATTATGTTGTATGAAAGAAGCCAGACACTAGAGTGCATTTTGTGTTATTCCACATACATGAAGTTCAGAAACAAGGAAAACTGAATCTATGCTGATAGAAGTGGGGACCAGCAGCTGCCTCTGTGGAGAAGGTAGGGTGGACTGGAAGGGAACACAAGGAGCCGCTGGGAAAGGAACTGTCCTCTGTCCTGACTTGCAGCAGCAGTCACACAGGTGGACGCATTTGTCAAAACTCATCCAAGTGAAAACTTCGAATCTGTGATTTTACTGTATGCAAATTATTCCTTGGTTTTAAAAAGAGTGTAAGGGATAAGAGTGGAGAAATCTATTTGCTTTTCTGAGTCTAGTCAGGAAAGACTTCAGGAAGGAAGTGACGTTTGAACAAGACCTTGAAGGAGGAATAGAATGCTTTGTAGTTGGAGCTAAAAGCAAGAAGAAAAAGGTGGAGGTTTGAGAATCCACTGCACATCTACATAGAGGAGGCCTCAGGGATGTGAGGTTTGTTTGTCTGTCTTTGTGAGACTGGGTCTCACTCTGTCACCCAGGCTGGAGTACAGTGGTGCAATCATAGCTCACTGCGGCCTCGAACTCCTGGGCTCAAGTAATCCTCCTGCCTCAGCCTCCAGATTAGCTGGGACTACAGGCATGAGCCACCATGCTCGGCTAATTTTTCTTATTTTTTGTAGAGACGGGGTCTCACTATGTTGCCCACGCTGGTCTCAAACTCTTGGGCTCAAGTGATCCTCCCACCTTGGGATCCCCAAATGCTGAGATTACAGGCATGGGCTACCAAGCCCAGCCCCTTGCTTGGCTTCAGACATCTCAAGGAACTTGTCTGCATCAAACTGTTTCTGAATTCACAGATATGAAATAGGCCTTATGAATTTAAAATCAGATAAAGGATTTCTCTTTGAAAAAAGTCTAAACAGATCAATCATAAATAAGAGAATGTTTTATAAGAGACAAAAACTGCAGTAACAGATACTGAAGGATACACTATCCCAAGAAGAGGAAACATGGGAAATCAGTAGTGTGCCAAACAATCTTTTTATTGTTCACGGAAAAATACAGGTCTGGAAAGAGTCTATTGCATTGTGTGTTGAATGCAAGGTCTGATATTGCAAGTATATGTAACAGTATAACTTATATAAAATGTAACATATTTTAGAGACAGTATCTACCTCTTCTAAATACTAATATTTAATAGAATGAAATAAAATTTCTTATTAAATAAGAAATGTAAACATTGCAATCATAAACAAAATGCTCTAAGCAAAGCACTTCAAAATTGTTTTGTGTGACATCTACATCGCCTACCTGGAGTTAGGAATGGTGGGGCCCAGAAAAAACTTAGCTAACAAAAAGCCAAACACCCTCACGGAGCTCTTTCCAGGAAGCAGGCCACTGATGCCCACGACAGGCTGCCACCCTGGCTGGTCGGCCAGCCAAGCACCCGGGCCCACACTGACTGCCGATGCCTGTTTGCGGGCTGGGCTGAGGTGATCGGGCAGAATACCAGGTAGGAGGGAGCTACTGTCACAACTGCTTATATTGCATCCTCTCTATGGATATGAGCAGTTAGCATTCTGGGGTGATCTGTCACTCTCAGCAAACGCTGAAATGGGCCTGAGAGTAAAAATATTAACACCGGGAACAAAAGCAATTTTCTATGCAGTCTGCAGATAATCATCATTAATTCATTTCAGCCATGTTTTCATTAAGATGCTCTACTAAAAGATGCTGCTGCTACTATACTGCCAGACAAGCAGGCCAGGAGAGAGGTAACAAAATTTCTCCAGTTACAACTACTGATTCAAATGAGTTAAAAATAAATACAGTTTGTATTAGAGAACAAAATCAATATCATCCACCTGGCAACATATTCGAGCACTGCAACAATATTCACAATTCTAAGGTCAAACTCTATCTACCAAACAGGAAGTCCTGCGTGGAGGACAGCATACAACAGCAACACCACCTCATCCTCTGCAATGTCGTCAGCACTCAGAAAGCTCATTATAGATAACAAACGAAACACTTTTTTTTTTTTTTTGCAATCTATACATAGCAACAGAGGAAGACTATACCCTTGCCCTGGGCTTCCTTGCCGAAGCCGACTTTGGCAAGGCTCACATTCTAAGAGAAATCAGGGTTACAAAGTTCCTTCCATCACAGGTAGTGAAAGAATATTAGACAATTTCCTCTACTAAGACAACAGTCTCACCATCAAAGAAAAGTTTCTTCTAAGTTCCTATAAATGAGATTTTACAATAGTGTGCAGAAAATACCTACAAAGCTCAAGTATCAGTAATATTAATATAATAATCTCAGGTTTTTCACACTTTGCAAATCAACAAGTATTTGATCAGAATACCCATTTAAGAGACTTGTAAGTCAACAGTAATAAGCAACTATCTATTTTTCTTATTCTATTCATCAAAGAACATCATGTTTCAATAATAGTAAATGCCAGTTCAATGAGTATCTTACTCCCCTCGACTCTGCGTGGGGAATTTCATGTTGTCTCCATGTCCTTGACTTTTTCAGTTAAAGGAAAAGCTGGGAAGTTGCAGATGTCAGCGGAAGCGCTGGCAATAGTGCTGACATAACCTTTAAGGGAATAACCACAACTGCTTATCAGACTGTTTATAGCCTTGCAAGGAGCCCTAATCCTCTTGAATCTCTAGATTGAGATATTCTAGTATTTTAAACATGGGGAGGGAGCACTGATATTGATAAAGGACTAGTTGTGTGTAAGGCTTTGGTCTTGGAATGATGTGCGCCTAGCCGTAAACACTGGCCACCTTTCTGTTCTAAGTATGTCCACTATTCTCCTCACCACCACACTGTCAAAAACACCTGTCCTGCCACTGTGGGGCCCCATTGCTGCTATCTCTTTTGAATCCCACTGCACATGTGGGATTCACCAAGGTATCACTTTAATGTATAGGTGATTTCTATTTCACACTACCAGCTCCCCAAAGACATCGACTGGGAACGATTTCTAGTTAGTAAAGGCACAATTCAATGGCATTTCCTCTTTATAATGGAAATCAAAAGGGTTATTTAGAAGCTGAATGAATATGCTGGGTATTCTTATAAAGGGAATGCTAGATCTGCTACCAAAGCCCAGGGACATTTATGAGACTTAAAGATTATATGGATTATGTAATAGCATGAGATTTGGCAGTTTAAGATATAGTTTCAATTTTACACTATACCATTTGGGTGAAAGTGCTGTTTAGTATCACAGGAGCAAATGAAAAGCGTCAACAATACCCTTTGGGTTTGCCTTCCTCGTGCTTTTGGTTACACTTCCACCAGCTCCAGTGAAGCCTGTCCCAGGGCACACGGCTCAGCTCCCTGCACAGCTGCTCAGAGATAAAACAATGAGCTTCACCTCAACGAGCCCAGCAGCTAGCACTCACATGCTGAACACTGTGGCCAACGGCCTTGCGGTAGAGACCATGAAAAGTTTTAAACAGGGAAATACAGATGTTGCAGAAAAGTCTTGCATTTTAGAATACTTCCCCAAGGAAGTCAGAAAATATTGTTTTTAAAGAAATGGAATCTGTACTAAAAAACCAAAACCTAGAATAGAAAAATTTCATTAATCAATATCTTACTTTGGCTAAATTATCAGAGTAAGCCAGTGTCATTTATTATTGCATTTGGAAGCAGAGCCTACCATGTCCTAGTGAAGTACATGAAACAATTTACAGAGGTGATAGCCCTTTAGCCTCTTGTGACCTCAGAACTTAAAAGGCAAAGGCTAACCAGGATCCTACATTCAGGTACTGACTTGCTCAGCACAAGCTGAGTTAGGAGACAGTTAAACACCAGATTCCCATTCACTTATGGTGTTCTCGGGAAGTTCCCATTTGGACAGTGGTTCTCAGCCTGGATGCACACCAGAATCACCCGAGCAGCTTGCAGAACTTACCAAATGCCCAGGCCAGTTACACCTGGAGGGGGAAGCCTGGAATCAGCATTCCCCAGGCGAGTCTAACGTGCAGCCAGGATGCACAGCACTGACGCAGCCCTTTCGAGCGCTGCTGCACGAAAGCCACACAAGGGGACTCGTATCTAGAGAGTTGTGTGTTTTCTCAATTTCACCGGAAAGAGAGATTTTTAGAAAAAGGCACAATTGTGCTTCCTCTAAAGACAGCCTGCAGCTTGGGAGGTACTGGTTATCCCCGAGGTTATCTGGAGCGCTGGCTGTAAAGAAGAAAGTCCTTGTCTTGGCAGAGCAGGCAGAGTTTCAGGGTTCGGCAGCTGCCTCCAGCAACAAAGAATGCCCAGATGCCCATGAGCACCATGATCACGTATGCTGACACCAGATTGAGTCCATAGTGAGGACTTATGAAGGTCTGCAAAGGAAAAAGAAAGCAGCTTGAGTAATAACAGCAAGTTTATTAAACATGTGGAATAAGAGATATAGGAAAATATGGAATAATTTCAACAGCTGGGGTGTGTTTCACCAAACATGTAATGTATCCCATGTGTTAGGGATCCACAAAGGCACGCAGAACTAAGCTAGACGACAGACACTGGGCTGTAGGTCCTGTGCTTTGCTGTATTCAAATGGCAACCCTAGAGGGTAGTCATTAGGCAGAACCTAATGGAATACCCTATAGGAGATACAAGTTGTATAACCTGGGCTGGGTTTATATTCATTTCTGTGTTAACCGGCTCTCAGAATTTGCAAGAGAGTAAGACAAGTGCAAAATTACTTTAGTATGAGTCCTTAGTGTTCAAGGGAACATGAGGGAATAGCATCTCTTTTTCAGCTGCCCAATTGCTATGGGTTCGGAAAGTTTATTCAATTAAAAAACACTGATGTCTTTTGTGATATTGATATCATTTCATTAATTGTGACAAATGTACCACACTAAGATCTGATGTTAGTGATAGAGGAAACTGGGTGTAGGGTGTATGGGAATTCATTACTATTTTCACAACTTTTCTACAAATCTAAACACTACTCTAAAAAAAAAAAAAACACGGACGGAATACAAAGAGGTACCACATTATGCAGTAGTGAAGACCAAAGTCCCTATCCCTGTGGAACTTATGTATTTGAAAGAGAAGCAGGTAATGAAGAAACCAATTAATTACAAATTGTGATGAATGCTAAGACAACATAATTATAATTGTGATGATGCTAGACAGTAAAAATAAGGTAACCTCCTTAGGGTAGTCAAGGAAGGCTTCAAGAAAGTGGCATTTAAACTGAGACATATAGGAGGAAGAGTGGGTGGGTTTTGTAGTAGCACATTACACAGAAAGTATGCTTCTCTCAAGAGGCATCTGTGGGTACAGCTGGCACTGAACATTTTCTGGATTCTTCTATACCGCAAATCCACTGAATTTTAATTTATTTTACAGAGTGCTAATAAGCTCTTTTGTATTTTTGGTAGCTTATTTCTTTAAAAAATTTTTTTTCTCTTTTAAACAATTACAAAAGCAATACATGATTGTTGTAGAAATTAGAATACAAATGAGAGAAATAAAACAAAATTTAAAACTTGAGATTAGGTTAATATTCATTAAACAGAATACAAAAAGTGAAACCATAAAGAGAAACAGATTAGACTACATTAAAATGAAGAACTTTTGTTCATCAAAAGCATTAAGAGACTATAAAGACAAACCACATCATAGAAGTTATTTGCAATGCATATATCTGACAAACTTTTCTCCTATAGAAAATATAAAGAAATCAAAAAGAAAAAGACATTTAAACCCAATAAATAGTCACAAGATCTGAACAGTCACGTCACAAAAGAATTATTTAAATGGCCAATAAACATATGAAGATGTGCTCAATGTCATTAATCAGGGAAATGCAAATTAAAATTTTAATGACATTATAATTTATTGATTTATGTATTTATGATACCACTACATACATACCCAGCAGGATAGCTAACAGTAGAGAATGCCACACCAAGTGCTAGTATGGAGGCGGAGGAACTGCAACTCATAAATGAATGATGGGAGCGTAAGTTGATACGACCACTCTGAAAAATTGAGTGGTAAGAACAGATGATGCAAGCACCCCATGACCCAGCAATTCTACTTTCTAGGAGTATATCCGAAAGAAATGTGTACACATGTTCACCAAGAGCTATACACTAGAATGTTCATAGCAGTAGTTAAATAGCTACAACTAAATGCCTCTCTGCTGCAGGATGAATAAATAATGGTACAGTCACACAGCGGACTACTACACAGCAGTGAATGAGTGCATTAGAGTGACAGATGAATCCCACCAACAGGTTGAGCAAAGGAGCCAGACAAAAGAGCAAATGTTGTACATTTCCATTTACATAAAATACCAAAAGGCAGAACCAAGCTGTTGTGTTATGAGTCACAATCATGGTCACCAGTGTGGCAGTGACTGAGGCACAAGGAGGCTGACATGTTGATTTCCATCTAGGTGCTAGATACACAGGTGTGTTCACAGTGAAAATTCATCAAGATGTATACTCATGTATACTTGTGTACTTTTATGTATGTATGTTATTTTAATAAAACAATTACTTAATCATTCTGTGAAATCTGCCATTGAGCAGCAACTACTGATAACATTTTGGTATATAATCTTTCAAGTTTTCTGTGTTTTCTTTTTAATCATTAAAGAGAATAACATCAACTATTCAATATAGTTGACTGTGTGCCAGGGACTGAGGATACAAAGATTGACAAGATAAGGCCCCATCCTTGAGGATCAAACTCTACTTAGAAAGATGTAAAAAACATATTAAATAAAATATGCTAGCCTAGGATAAGTGTTAGAACTATGAGTAGGGTCCAGTGATGGTGCTGTGTCTGGAACCTTCACAGACTGGTTTCCCATGGAATGAGTGGGGGAGACGAATCACTGCAGATAGACAGCAGGGACAAAGGCATGCCAGCTGGGGACACTGGGTCAGCTTAGATGGGATTATGGTGCCTTGAACTGCAGAGAGTGGCAGGAGGTAAGTTCTGCATCAGTAAGATCAATAAGAGGCTTACATCAAACAAAATCTGAATTTTACAGGCATCTCTACAGCAGATTGCTCTCCTCTTTAACACACCTGGCCTCCAGGATGCCTGACTCTGCGATTCCCTGGATTTCCTTCTGCTTCACTGGCTGCTCCTTCTCTTTTGCCCAAGCTCAATGTTGGAGTGTCCCGGGACTCAGTCCTCGGGCCTCTCATATGTGTACACCCACTCTTTGTAGTCATCTCCGCTAGCCTGGATGTCTCTCCCAGACTCCAGACCTTTTCATCCAACTGCTTACCTGACATCTCCGCATGGATGCCCAACAGGTACCTCCGCAGTAATGTGCTCAAAAGGGAACTCCAGACCTTCCCTCACAAGCTTCCCCATCTCAGCTGATGGCAACTGTCCTTCACTGGTCCATGCCCAAAACCTCGGAGACATTGTTGGTCCTGCTTCTTTCTCTCACATGCCTCATCCAGTCTAGCAAGAAATATTGCTGGCTCTACTTTCAAAAATATGTCCTGAATCTGACCATTCCTCATCATTTCCACTGCTATTTCACCCAAGTCATCATCATTCTTCCTTGAGGACTGTAATCTCTTCCCCCTGCCATAGTCTCATCTCAACACAGCAGAGATTCTTCTAAAACATGAGTCAGATCACACCCCCTCCTCAACGCCCTCCTGTGACTCCTCATTTCACTGAGACAAAAGCCAAAGTCCTACGTTACCTAGATGCGGCCCTTACTTCTAGCTACTTCCCTCCCCCCCATCAGCCCTCTGTCAGTATCTCCTACTCAGCTTCCCCTTGCTAATGCAGTTCTGGCCACCGGTCTCCACACGCACGCCAAGCACAGCCTTTACTCCCAGGTCCGTGGTGCTGGCTGTTCAGTCCAGACAGTCTTTCTCCAGATAACCACGTGGCCAACTTCCTCACCCCCACACTTCACTTCTTTGCTCAGATATCACCTTCACGACAACGCCTACTCTGACCACCTAATTGTGTGACCCCTGACCCCCACACGCAATGCTGGGTCCCAGTCCTCTGCTCTACTTTTCTTTTTTCCATAGCACCAATCACTTCCTAAGACACCATATAATTTATTAATTATGTCTATTGTTTATTGTCTTTACCCACTAGATTGTAAACGCAGGGATCTTTGTTTTGCTCACCTAGAACAGTGCCTGGACATAAGAGGCACCTGATATAATATTGATTGAATGAATGAGTGGCCAATTAAATCCATAAGAAGGATGTTTGATATCTGATTATAAAAGCACTATGTCATAGAACATTTGGAAATGACAAAAACTATAGAGAATAAAAGAATCTGCAAATCCCAACATTCAGAGCTAAATGCTGTTAACATTTTAATGCATCCCTTTTCTAGTCTTTTTTTCCACAAAGATTTGGCTTTACATAGCTGCCGTCCTATATTAAGAGTAATCTTAGCACCCTACACCACTGAAAGGTTTTGGGGGGAAGGGCAGTAAGGTTGTATTTTAGATGGATCTGAGGGCAGGGAGCCCAGTGTGAGAAAATCTGATATAAACTCTAAATGGCTGGAGAGGAGAAGCATGAGGCAGCACACCATCAGGAGGAACCTTTTCAGTATCAGATGAGAGATGACAAGGGTCTGGACAAGGCAGTGGAGGAGTAATTCTCATGTAGATATATGACAGATTACAATAAAAGCAGCACCAAAGCATTAAATAGTACTTAAAAAATATATCAAGATTTTTAACTTTATTTTGAAAACTGGCATTATCATGGTGTCAGTGAGGAGGGGGTGAAATGGACACTTTTGTTATGGAGAGAATTTTAGCAATTTGCATCAAGTGCTTAAAATAATATTCACATCATTTGACTTCATAATTCCATGGCTTGGAATCTAAACAATGTATGGAAAACATTTCATGTACAAAGATGCTCAAGACAGCATTACAATAACCAAACAAATGGAAGTGATCAAACAAGTTATAATAATTTTTATGTAATGATATAAAGCTATTAGATGTATATCTTAAAGGATTTGCAATAACTTGGACGTTGCTTCAGATGTGCTCCATAACATAAGCATAATGCAGGACTGTTTTAGGTTTGACTATATCCATTAAAAGAAAGACAAATGAAAAAAAATCTTTAATGAGATCTACCGAAAAATTAACAGTGGTTATCTTTCTGCTGTAAGACTTAGATCATTCATTCATTCACTTACACAACTTTTCTGAATTTCCTAATTTTCTCATGAGCATGTATTTCATTTAGAGCTGCAGTCCCCAGCCCCCAGGGGGAAGGAACCCAGCTGCACAGCAGGAGGCTGCACAGCAGGAGGTGAGCAGCAGGAGGTGAGCAGCAGGCAAGAGTGAAGCTTCACCTGTATTTACAGCCACTCCCCATCGTTGGCATCACTGCCTGAGCCTTGCCTGTCCTCCCCTTAATCCCCCCCCATCCATGGAAAAATTGTCTTCCATGAAACTGGTCCCTGGTGCCAAAAAGGTTGGGGACTGCTGATCTACAGTAGAATCTGCCATTTAGATATACAGACTTGAGTTTCAAAAAACAATCTTAGCACGGTGGCAACACTCACCTGGGCTGACACGAGCAGATGGGTCAGGAGAACAATAAGAAGGATGTACCAGTTTTTCTTCTCACAGCCATCAAAAAATATAATGCCCCAGAAGGTGTGCAGCAATATGATAACCAGCGTCATGAAAGCTGAAAGACAGCCAACCATTAGTGTTCATTCACACAGACAACAGGCACCAAAGCCCACTGAGCACCCTGCCACTGCCCCTGGACTCTAAGGTCCACTGTGCAACAGTGAGAGTTTAACCACTGCCTGACAAAACAGGACCTGGACACATGTTTGCTCTAATGGTAACTTGAAAATCAACATTTCTGAGCAGGGGATCTGCTCTGCAGCAGCTTCTCATCTAGAATGTGAACCTGTTCAACAAAAAGTCAGCTTGGATCTGACTTTCAAGTAGTTTCCCTGAGGAATCCAATAAAATTACTGCAATGTCTAACCAAACTTTTCCCCATCAGCTTTCCATACTAATTAAGAGAAACTTCAATTATTAATAAAAGAGTGCCTTCTCTTTAAGCAAGCCTCCTCAATAAAGTGGGATTTCTCTTCAGATCTTTTTTGTTTAAAGGCCAAGGGAAAAATAAAATATTAAAAATCACAATCATTACCTAAGATTCTTCCCAAGCAACTGGCACAGAATTTGATCAGCACCAACAAACTGTGTGGTGTGTGTATTCAGTGTGCTGGATAACAGTCTTTATTTAAAGTGGGCAAGCCCCATATATTCCGCAAGTTTTAAAATGGGGGGAAAAAAGCATGTAGATTTTCCCTTTTCAGCCACATAATAAGATACCATTAACACCCACCAGACTGGCAAAAATTCAAGCCTGACAACACCCTTTCATACTGCTGGTAGGAAGACAATCCAGCATTAACAATTAAAGTAGAAAATTTCCATTCTCTATTTCCCTCCAGCAATTCCACAGCTAGGTCTATACTCTGCAGCAATTAGTTCTCCAATTAATAGATCATCGCCACCTGGGAACATGTTAGAAATGCAAACTATTGGGACTCCACACCTCCTGAATGAGGAACAATGTGGTGGGACACCCAAGCAGTCTATATTTAAACAGCCCTCCAGGTGTTTCAGATGCATAGTCATGTTTCAGAACCACTGCTCCAGAGACAATCTTACTACACATCTGCACAAGAAGGTATATACAAGGATATTTATATTGCCATTGTCTGTAATAATATACCAGAATGGATAAATGTATCATGGTGTATTCACACAAAAGAATACTATACGATCTATAATATATTACAAATAATCTCAAGAATGTAACATTAAGTGGAAAAAAACCTCTTCATACTATGAAAAATACACATTCTTTTCACTTACATAAAGCACTTTTTAATAGCAATAAAGACATTAACTGTTGTAGTTAGAGGAAAGAAAGCTGGTATAACAGAGTCATCATTCAGTAAATGATGGTATTATTAAAGTAGAACAGGAATGGTTTTTAAAACTTTAAGGCTATGGCAGACTAAACTGACATATTTCAGTGATGATCCTGGAAAGGGAAGCTCTCTTGTAGATAGGTGCCTGGTGATGGTGGGGAGTTGAGACCACTGAAGATACCCAAAATTCTTCTTTCTTTCTTTTCTTTTACTCTTTTTTTTTTTTTTGAGGCAGGGTCTCACTCTGTTGCCCAGGCTAAAGTGTAGTGACGTGATCATAAGCTCACTGCAGCCTCCAACTCCTGGGCTCAAGTGATCCTCCCACGTGGTTGAGTCTACAGGTGCATGCCCACCACACCTGGTTAATTTTTAAATTTTTTGTAGAGATGGGGTCTTGCTGTTGCCCAGGCTGGTCTTGAACTCCTGGCCTCAAGCAATCCTCCCACCTCAGCCTCCCAAAGTGCTAGGATTACAGGCATGAGCCACTCTACCCAGCTAAGTTTTAAAGTTTCTCTATGTCAGAAAAGATCAAAGTAGAAACAGGCACAAATGCATTTTTTTTTTTTTTGAGACAGTCTCACTGTTGCTCAGGCTGGAGTGCACTGGTATAATCACAGCTCACTGTAACCTCAAACTCCTAGGCTCAAGCAATCCTCCCACCTCAGCCTCCCAAGTAGCTAGAAACAATTTTTTTTTTAATTAAAAAAAATGGGCCAGGCAGTGGCTCATGCCTGCAATCCTAGCACTTTGAGAGGCTGAAGTGGGAGGATTGTTTTAGCCCAGGAGTTTGAGACCAGCCTGAGCAACATAGTGAGACCTTGTCCCTAATGAAAAACTAGCTAGGTATAGCGGCATGTCCTGTAGTCTCAGCTACTCAGGAGATTAAGGCAGGAGGATCACTTTAAGCCCAGACGTTCAAGGTTGCAGTGAGCTATGATGACACCACTGCATTCTACCCAGAGCGAAAGAGCGAGAGTTTGTCTCAAAAAAAAAAAAAAAAAAAAGTCCATACTCTAAAGACTCTAAACGTTTTCTATAACGTAGATGACAAGCAAACGTCAAGAGAGAAACCAATGACACCATTAATGTGTCATCTGTTTGGCAGTTTATGTTTGGCGGCTTATGTTTGGCCTTCTCTCTGCATTACCATGAATATTGAGATGAGCCAGTTATGCTCCTATGGTCAAGTCCTAGAGTTCTGCTCTCACTAATGGAGTCTGCAATCTATTCTTGTCTAAGAGCATTATTCTGTGAGCTCCAGGTAAGCATTCTCAAGACATCATTAGTCCTGACCTTTCTTTTAGGTCCATATTTCTAGGTCCTTCTTGCTAAGACGTCTTTGATGGATTGACTTTGCCTCCAGAGTCAGGTCTGTACATCTCAGACTAGCATTCAAGGACCTCTATGATCTAGATCCAAATTACCTTGACATCATATCCTCTACTAATCTTCAAATGCATCCTTGTGTCAGAAAACCAGAACTCTTCTTTACTCTGGCTATACTTTTGTGTGTGTGTGGTTTTTTTTTTTTTAACAAATTACCCCTTTTGCCTGAATACCCCTAATCACAATCCCTCTCCATTTTACCACATTCAAATCTTACTTTTATTTAAGAACCAGCTCAAATGCCACCTCCTCAATGAATTCTGTTCTGATGTCTATTTTGTTTTGCTTTTTAAACACTCAACACACATTTACTGAGCACCTAGGCAGTCTGGCTTGAAGATTATGTATATTGTCTTTGGAGTCAGACAATTCAGAGTTAGAATCCTAGGTCCACTCTGTGGCTTTGGACAAGTTATTTAATCTCTCTGAGCTTCCATTTCCTTTATTTCTAAAATGAGGATAATACCTCATAGGGCTGCTGCAGGAAAAACAGTGCTTGGCAAATGACAGCTTTTTAATGCATGGTAGCTACTATATTCCATGGTCTACAGATTCAAAGATGACTAAGCCAGGGTCCTCAGTTAGCTGGACTATCAGGTGGGAAAGTGAGAGAAAGCAGCTAGCAATTCCCACATTTATCCAAGTTTCCTGGGTACTTGGCTATGTTTAAAATGCATTCTTAAAACAAATAAATAAATAATAAATAATAAAATAAATAAATAAAATGCATTCTTCATTTTTCTAGATTATTTTTTCCTTTGACTTTGTATTACTCTTACATTTATTTTCTTCTTTCTCTTTCATCAGTCCACATAAGTATTTATTCAGTGCCTACTATGGGCCAAGTGCTGTCCTAGGCACTATGGCTATCACGATGTCTACCATAGTCTCATGGAACCTCACCCCATCCTCTCAGTTTACCATTTTATTATCACAATATCTAAAGGGATTGCTTGGACATTTATAAAAATACTATACTACATTCCTACTTGACTGCTGTTTATACAGCCAGCACTAGTTTCTGGATGGCTTTGACGGTCAACACAGGCCTTTCCCATCACAATGTGCTATGTTAGAATACTGAGATTTATTCTTTATTCCCTCTGCAATTGGTAAGAGATCCAACAGAAACTGAGACCTGGATATCTACATTATTCTGTCACATACATGTAGCTACAGCTACATACATATTATGTTGATATTTTTCATTAGTCAATGGAATTAATTCCAATTAGAATTGAAGATTTGCTAATAGTATCTCTAGAGTACCTTTTAATTAGCAAACCTTTCTCAGTTCATGTTCCTAAATATAAAATCCTAAAAGTCCCTCAATGAATCTAACCCTAAAATTTGCTTTGTTCTAATATTCAACTTCCCCAACCATAAGAATATCAAAATTAGGGTGGGTGCAGTGGCTCATGCCTGTAATCCCAGCATTTCAGGAGGCCAAGGCAGGAATACTGCCTGAGGCCAGGAGTTCAAGACCAGCTAGGCAACACAGTGAGACTTTTATCTCCACAAAAAGTAAAAACATTAGCCAGGTGTGGTGGCCCATCTTGTAGTCCCAGCTACTCGAGAGGTTAAGGCAGGAGAATCACTTGAGCCCTGGAGCTCAAGGATGCAGTGAGCTATATGATTGGGCTGCACTCCAGCCTGGGCAAAATAGCAAGACCTCAAAAATTTTAAAAAGAATATTAGTTTATAACCCAGATTAATAAAAGGAGCTTCCATAATTTCTAGTGTTTTGGAATACCAGAAAGCTGAACAATTTTAACAAGTACTGTATATCTGTTTATGCCAAACGTAGCTATCCAGTTTGATAATGGACTTCCTCTTCTAATAATTTTCTAAGTCAAATTCTCTTGGTAGAGAACATTTCAATGTAACTTATTTCTAAGCAAAATATTTAGTGTTATCTTTAAGAAGCAATATTTACTGTTTGGCTCTTTCACCCCTTCTGAATATACCTCAAATTCTCTAGCACACAGATTCCTAAGTACCCTCATTTTCACACTTGTTCCTCTCCCTCATTCCTAATAACTACTTTTCTGTCCTTGCAAAGACAATGGCCTAAGATAGGAATTGATTCTAATACTGCATTCCTGCCAGCACGGAAATTGCTGTCATCTGGCTTCCCCTGCCAAGGTCAAATTAAGTCAGAAAGAATCTAGTGCTACTGCTGGGTGGTGGCAGCCACAGACAGAAGATCCTCACAGCCCAGGCTCAGCATAGTGGCAGGATGTGAGTAATAGAAAGGTCTAAGGTTTCAGGATTCCGTGAAGTAGGAGATTCTCCTCCGTCCCTCCTGGTTGCAGAAATTCTCTGGATTCTTGAGGGTCTC